CTGAGGGTTGCGATCCGTTGCCGGTCACGAAAAAAGACAAAAAAAAAAAAAAAGAAAGAAACTCAAGTGTGCTTTTATTTTTGCCTAGTAAGAAGATTCTCAATGATTTGGCTTGTACCGGGAATTATTATTATTATTATCAATTAACTCATCTTTATAATTAGAGTAATTCTTTATATTTTCAATTATATTTATTATTAGAGCTTGGTTCAGAGTCAACTAGAAATTGGAAATCCTCAAGATAGTGTAAACTTGTCATTCAAAGGTACCAGTAGGATCATAGTCAAAATCCATGAAAAGACAGCTCAGATTTTACATTTTTTTTCTGTCAGGTTTTTACCTGGTTATATAACACAGTAGAATCCATTACCTTAATATTAAAAAAAAAAAAATCAAGTGTCTAAAAATAAGCAAGGCATTGGAAAGAACATAAATTATGGTGCCTTCTCTCAAAGAGTTTATATCAGAAATTAGGTGAATGAAATTTTATGTTTTATGATAACTTTGAAAGAAAACACACCAAAATGCTAGTGTTTAATGGTATCTAGATTGGTGTGAATAGGGGTGATTTTTTTTTTCTCTGCTCTATCTAAATTTTTTATAAGGAGGTGACAGCACTTTCACTACAGGAATGTACAATGAAGTATCTGCTCCTTAGTTCTGTCAGCACTTTATTCAAAATCTTCAAATTCCTGGGGCATCTGCTGTTTGTTGATAGCTCTCCTCCAGAGGAGCTCAGCAGCAGACTCCTTTCCAAACTTCTGTAAAGGAAATTATCACCCAATTTGTCTGCTTTTTGAATTCAGGTTTTAATTGTCTTATTTGAAGGGAATATGCAGCTGTACAATAAAACATTTTTTGAAGTCTCTTAGGCTACTTGTAGAGTTATCTTTCCAAAATACCAATTGGAACACAGTACTCTGCTTGATGATCTATGGCAACACCTCCCTTTTATAGACAGGAATAAAGCCCATTTTTCTTAGCCTGCCATGCCACACTTCTGTGAGTTGTTCCCAATAGAATGTTCCAGCCTCATCTCTCACAATTCTCCCAAACACACCCCCCCCCAAGGGTCTAGCCCTCTCAGATTATTATTGTAAGCCCCACTTATTTAAAAAAGGCATCTTTTCTCTTCCAGGCCTTTGAAAAATACTCATTCCTCTACTGAAATATCCTTTCTCTCACTTCTTTACTTGCAGAACTCGTCATATCAGGCCTCTGGTGAAGTTTCTAACACAGCTTTTTGTCCCTTTCCCTTAGAATTAATGACCACCTCCTCTGTGTTACCACAGCATTTCTATGTACTTCACACACAGCGCGTGTCAGTTTGAAGCCTTGTTAGCTGTTTGCCCTGCAACCGTGGGAAGGATGTTTTTCTGCCTTGCAATATTACGAAGCCGGAAAACAGCACTGTGACTTATGTATCTTACTGAACATTTGTGGAGCTGGTTGTCTGATGTGATTTTGTAGTCTGGTTGCCTCAATTGTACACAAAGCGTTACATTGCTTTACTTCCCTTAAGCTACAACTTTCTCCAACTCCAACTCCCATCCACCACAACTGTAAAGCTCCCCAGCACCATGTCTTNCACAATTCTCCCAAACACACCCCCCCCCAAGGGTCTAGCCCTCTCAGATTATTATTGTAAGCCCCACTTATTTAAAAAAGGCATCTTTTCTCTTCCAGGCCTTTGAAAAATACTCATTCCTCTACTGAAATATCCTTTCTCTCACTTCTTTACTTGCAGAACTCGTCATATCAGGCCTCTGGTGAAGTTTCTAACACAGCTTTTTGTCCCTTTCCCTTAGAATTAATGACCACCTCCTCTGTGTTACCACAGCATTTCTATGTACTTCACACACAGCGCGTGTCAGTTTGAAGCCTTGTTAGCTGTTTGCCCTGCAACCGTGGGAAGGATGTTTTTCTGCCTTGCAATATTACGAAGCCGGAAAACAGCACTGTGACTTATGTATCTTACTGAACATTTGTGGAGCTGGTTGTCTGATGTGATTGTGTAGTCTGGTTGCCTCAATTGTACACAAAGCGTTACATTGCTTTACTTCCCTTAAGCTACAACTTTCTCCGACTCCAACTCCCATCCACCACAACTGTAAAGCTCCCCAGCACCATGTCTTGTGAGAGGCCCTCAGGGTACCTTGGGGCCTGGGGTCTTTGTTGAGGCAGGGACTTGAGGCTGACGTCCAGTCTCTCTCTCACCACTGAAGTGGTGCCCACCACCCCTCCCTTTTAAAAACAGCTTTATTGAGCTATAATTGACTATAGTAAATTGCACATATTTAAAGGACATACTTTATAAGATTTGACATGTGCACACACGAAACCATCACCATGATCAATACAGTGAACATATCCATCATCCCCCAAAGTTAGTTTGTGCCCCTGTGTAAATTCCTCAGTCTCATTTCTCCATACCTCTCCTCCTACCTCATCCCCAGGCAACCACAGATCTGCTTTCTGTCACTGTAGATTAATTTGCATTTTCTAGATTAGTGTTCATCATATATATGGAATCATACTGTATGTACTCTCTTTTGTCTGGCTTCTTTCATTTGATATAATAATGTTGAGATTTATCCATGTTGGATGTATCAATAGTTCATCATTCCTCTTTATTGCTGAGTATATTCCATTGTAGGAATATATCAAAATTTGTTTATTTGTTCACCATAGATGGATATTTGGGTTGTTTCCAGCTTTGGGGTATTACAAATAAAGCTGCTATGAACATTTATGTACAAATCTTTGTGTGGACATATGTTTCTTTTCTTCCTTTTGGGTAAATACTTTTTCCTGGAATGGCTGGATCATGTAGTACTGTATATCTAACTTTTTAAGCAACTGCCAAATGGTTTTTTAAAGTGGTTGTACTGAGTTACATTCCTACCAGCATTGTATGAAATTTCCATTCTCTCCTTGTGCAGCTCTCTTCTCTTTGGGACTCTGTCCTTCTAACTGCAGCAGCCTTAATATCCCCAGGTTCTCAGCTTTGTCTTATCAACTCAGGGAGTTTACCAGACTCACCACAAGTTCCCCATCCCTGCACCATGACCTGCAAACTCTCTCAAGACAGTAGGCTGTAGGGCTCATCTCGTTTGTTTTCTGTTTCTCAGAGATCACTATCTTTCATTGTTGGATGTCTAATGTACTAAAAGCCAGTATTTCTATATTTGATCTGGCTTTTCTGTTGTTTCAGGCTGGGGAGCCAATCTGGTCTTGACCAGATGCAGAAGTTTGCAGAACCTACTTGTTGTGAGGGGTGGGGGCAATCAAGAGTTCCATTTTGGGGCTGGCCCGGTGGCGCACTGCTACATTGCGCCGCTTGGGAAGCGCGGCGGCGCTCCCGCCGAGGGTTCGGATCCCACATACAGACCAGCCGCTCACTGGCTGAGCAAGGTGCCGGAGCAACACCGAGGATTGCGATCCCGTTGCCGGTCCCAGTCCGGTACGGGCGCGACACTGAGGNAAAAAAAAAAAAAGAGTTCCATTTTGGACATGTTGAGTTAGAGAAGATCTGAGAGATTACATAACTGCTTTGGGGCTTTTGCCCTGTGTTCCCTCTGCATGGAATATACTTTCCCCAGACCTTCATATGCCAGGGTCCAATATCATTACAGGGCTTAAATCAAATGCCAAGTAAGATTTTCCTGTGTTAATCTTACCCACTAATTTTCCATCCTATTGCCCTATTTTATTCCCTTATAGCTCTTAACACTTTCTGAAATTATGTCATTAATTTGTTAACTCATTTATTGCCTACCCTACTCCAGTAAAACAAAAGCTCCATGTCAGCAGGGGCCTTTTCGGTCACATTCACTGTGCTAACCCATTGTGTAGGTGTCTGGCCCACATGGGGTGCTCAAAAGGAATTTGTGGAATGAAAATTAAAGTGAAGATGATGCTAAGTAGGCAGTAGATGTGTCAGTCAAGCTCAGAGGAGAGGAAAGGTGAAGCCTGAAGACACACATTTAAGACTTGCAGGACATTGAAAGAGACTTGAAACAAATTAGGCTTCAGAACATAAAGGAAAGTAAAATTCCNTAGATGTGTCAGTCAAGCTCAGAGGAGAGGAAAGGTGAAGCCTGAAGACACACATTTAAGAGTTGTTGCATGAAGATGGCATTAAATCCATAGGGAATTAATGAGACCCCTTGTACTGAGCAAGAGAGGAGCAGAAGGCCCAGGACAGAACCCTAAGGAATCTCAGCATATACAGGTCACCTCTCAACTGATCCTTTGACGTTCTTGTCATTCACTTTTACAGGCTTCTTTTATTCCTGTCAATTGCCTGTCAATTTTTAGAGCCCCTCCTTCCTTTATACTATCATTGAGTCGTGTACTTTTCTTATTTTCCTAATCAATTAAGGGAAGAGTCCTGTAGTCAAAATTACAGTTTTGAATTGGATTGGGATGGATTGGACTGGACCAGAGTGATAAGCATTGTTACATTACAGAATTTTATCCATAGAAATGCCAGTGTTAAATGTATTTATATTTCAAGTTAATGGATACTGTGCCCAAGTTTTTAGTGAATTAGTATTAACTTCCCTGTACAAAGGCATGTTCTTATTCACAAATCAATAATCAGATTCAATCCAGAAATCAAATCATGTAAACAGTGTTGTGAATTCAGAGATTGTGAAAATATATATATTTTTTTCTGGAGGCTGGCTGGTACAGGGAAAATATAATTGTTTGATCAATATTTAATGATATAATTGTATTTTTCTCTAAATTTCGTAGATGTGTCAGTCAAGCTCAGAGGAGAGGAAAGGTGAAGCCTGAAGACACACATTTAAGACTTGCAGGACATTGAAAGAGACTTGAAACAAATTAGGCTTCAGAACATAAAGGAAAGTAAAATTCCAGAACAGAAATATAAGGCTAAGGTAATAAACATTTTCGTCTTTTGGTTCTGTATTAAAAAGCTGGCTAGGGGGTCCACACCTTGCAGTCTGGGTTGCCTACATGATTTTCCTTCTACTGCCTTATGGAATTGCCCTATTTTGTGATGTTAGACTAATGGTTTTAAGTATTTGTAATGTCAAAGTACAAATTGTAGAGAATTGTAATTTTAAGACTTTTATTGAATTGCTAAACTAGGATTTTTTTTTT